TAGTAGACTCCGTGAATATTCTGTTGTTTGGGAAAAGGTTGTAAGGTTGTATTTGAAGTAGGCACGATTTTTCAAGGTTATCCATGGCTCACTTTTGTTCCTCTGTATTTGAAAGTAAAATGGGTATACAGCTTTTAAAACTATGCTTCTTTTCCAAATGGCTTCTTTTTGAATGAGAAATATCAGTATTATTAAAAAATACCCAAAATGATCATTGTATTGCTATTCAAAGATGTTACATATATATACTTTTTAATTTTAAAAGTTTGACTATTTAGTTTACCAATTATTTAACCAATGTTTTCTTCCTGCAGAAGTTAGACACCCCATTTCTTGTCCTTCCCCACATGTTGGTATGTAGTACAATCTGATAGGTACTAAGGATGATTAAGAAAAACGTTAGGGGCCCGGCGCGGTGGCACAAGTGGTTAAGGGCCTTGCCTTGCACGCCCGGGATCCCATATGAGCGCCGGTTCTAATCCCGGCAGCTCCACTTCCCATCCAGCTCCCTGCCTGTGGCCCGGGAAAGCAGTCAAGGACGGCCCAAAGCTTTGGGACCCTGCACCTGCGTGGGAGACCCGAAAGAGTCTCCTGGCTTCGGATTGGCATAGCACCGGCCGTTGTGCTCACTTGGGGAATGAATCATCGGACGGAAGATCTTCCTCTCTGTCTCTCCTCTCTGTATATCCACCTTTCCAATAAAAAAATAATAAAAATAAATCTCTTTTTTCTAATACTTTCTTTTTTAAAATTTTTATTTATTTATTTTATTATTGTTATTAACATTGTATTATGTGATACAATTTTATAGGCACTGGGGATTCCCCCCACCCCTCCCACGCCCCTCCCCCCATAGTGGATTCCTCCACCTTGCTGCATAACCACAGTTCAAGTTCAGTTGAGATTCCTTCATTGCAAGCATATATATCTGTATATCTGCCTTTCCAATAAAAAAATAATAAAAATAAATCTTAAAAAAAAAACGTTAGGAGGCTGGCATTTTGCTGATCAGGTGAAGCTACTGCTTGACATACCAGCACCTCCTATGGTTGCTGGTTTGTTTCTGGAATGCTCCATTTCTGTTCCAGTTTCCTGCTGATGGCCTAAGAAAGCAGAAGATGACCCAGGTATTTGGGTCCCTCCCCTGTGGGAGACTAGGAGAAAGCTCCTGGCATCAACCTGGCCCAATGCTGGCTCTTGTGCTTCTTTGGCAAGCGAACTATCAAGATCAGTCTCTTGCTCTCCTTCCTTCTCTTTTGTCTTCCCCCTCCCTTACTCCTCTTCTCTCTAATTCTGCCTTTCAGATAAATAACCTTTGGAAAAGAAAATAAAGTGTCATTGTGTGAGTTTCTGACAATTGCATTATTTTGTAATCAACACTGCAATCAGGAAACAAGGATTTCCTCAACTCCTTACACTTCCCTGTGCTTTTTTTGATAGACTGTCTCCCCACTCTTGATCTTTGCCAGCCACTATTCTGTTTTCTGCCCCTGTGCCTTATCCATGTCCAGAATGTCATATACCCGAATCAGCAGTAAAAAAAAAGATCCTGTCTTTTGAAGCTGGCTTCTTTCTCTCGGCACAATGAGTTTTAGGCAGCTTCCAGACCTTTCATAGAGCTGCCACCTTGTCATGCATTCCCAGCACAAGTATAATGTGACTTCTTGTTCTGCATCCTTGTCAGCACTTGTTTTCGTCAATAGTCTGCCCCTATTAGTGAATAGTGTTCCACTGGATGGTTGCTTATTTGTTCACTCCCTGACCAAAATTTGCATTGTTTGTGGCAGTTAGAGGGAATACTATCTTGAAAACTTAATGTGTGGGCTTTTGTATGAGCATGTCTTTGTCCTGGGTAGGATATATTTTAAGCGTAGACTCAACATTTTCTTTGGTTAAATTTGAGAGGCAGCATGCACATAGGTTGCTTTTTTGTGGTTCACTCCCAGAATGATCACAAGGGCTAGAGGCTAGGAGCTAGGAGCTAGGAGCCAGTACTGCCATCCAGGCCTCCCTTGTAGGGAATTGGCTTGCTTGAGCTGTCACCTGCTGCCACCCAGGGTCTGCATGAGCAGGAAGCAGGAGTTAGGAACCAGAGCCAGGAATTGAACCCAGGTACTTGGCTGTGGATTGTGGGCCTTGTAACTACTAGAATGCTCCAAGGTTTAACATTTCACGAGACTGCCAGACTATTCCTGTAATCTGTGTATTTCAGATAGTTGCCATACTGTCTTGCATTTCCTACCACTAATGTTCTGTAAATTCTGGTCACTTAGTATCCTTTCCAGCAGTTGGTGTTGTCAGCTGTTTTTTTCCTCCACCTAACTTGCCCATCAAACCATTGGTACTTGATTCACAAAGGTGAAGAATAGGATGAGATTCAAAGCGAAACCACCAAGACGCTTATAAAGAAGAGTTTGGCAGACCCTTGTGTGTTTGAGAACTTTGCAGTATCTGCTGCATTTGTTGTTGAGTTTCCAGACAGGTGGCGCAGAGCCTGGCACACATTAGGGATGCCTTTATATGAGTATTGAATTGTTGGAAATAGGTGATTGAAAGTTTAACAAAGATGTAAGAAGAGTATAGAAAATAATTTTAGCTTAAATTTCATCTCAGTGATTCTGGTGTGTTCCTGTGACACAACCCTTTGTATCTATCTAAATTTCTGATTTAAAAGTTAAGTAGTGGATAGAAAACATTTAAATTTTTTTAAGAATTTATTTATTTGAAAGGCAGAACGTTGGGGACAGAGACCTTTAGAGAATTTATTTCTGATGATTCACTCCCCAAATGCCTGCAGTAGCCAAAACTAAGCCAGACCAAAGATAGGAGCTTGGAATTTGATCTGGATTTCCTACGTAGGTGACAGAGACCCAGTTCCATGAGCCATCTATACTGCTTCCCAGTGTGCACACTAACAGGGATCTGGCATATGAATCTGAGCCCGAACTCAAACCCTGGTTCTCTGAGGGGGTCTGGGGATCTCGAGTATTGACTCAGTTGTGTTAAATTAACTCTGTCCTGGTAGAAGCGACTTAATGTTACAGCTTATTACGTAGAACGCTGCTGGGCCTAAATTCCATCACCATTAAATGACAAAATTTTATTAGATGATCATTAAGCCCTTTTAACCTTCATTTGTATTTTTAATCACATTAAATAAAAAATTGAGAAAGTAGCATGCCATAACCATTGGTGGGGGCGAGCCACGTAATAATGAGTACAGTGTAAAGTAGAGCTTCACAGGGAGTTTAGGGCTGAGTGTCTAAAGCTAGAGCTAGCTGATGTCTACAGACAGGAAGAGTAAATGGAAAACAGAAAGAAGTAGTTGCAGCATTTTCAAATACAGTATTAGCATTGCAGGATTGGGGGTGGGAGCAGGTATAAAGGGAAGTAGGAGTTGAAAAGTCTTAATTTAAAAGTGTATTTTTTTCTTATCCTGTTAAGAAAAGCTTTAAGTTAAAGACTGCGGAGATGCTGTCAGCATTGTCTGTTATTGCAAAGAAGAGGCCATGTGAGGAAGTGTGGGGCTGCCATGGGTGTGAACTCCTGGCATGATCGGCCTGTTGCTTTTCAGTGTCCTTTGCCTCTATGTTTAGTTCCTCATCCACTTCTCCCACTTCTCACAAGTTCTGATCTAGAGGTTAGCAAAAAAAAAAAAAACAACAAAAAAAAAACAGTTCTTAGCAAATATCTATCCTGTTTTTGTTTTGAAAGATTTCATAGACACACTGTCAAATAAAGGAGAATGTTTAAAAATATACCAGTACACAAATTTGATTCTGTAAGGGTAAGGAATTCAACCTGTTTTATTATTTGTCTGACATTTTAAAAAAGTACCATGACATTTGAAATTTTGTTTCCTGTTGTGAGATTCTTAAAACATTTCAGAGGTCTTGATCTTGGTGTACCCGCTTTATTGTGTGAGAGAGGGAGAGTGAGCGCCACAATTGCTGGCTCATTTCTCAGATGGCTGCAGTAATTGGAATTGAGCTGTGGCTGAGGCTGGGTTAGGATCATAGCCAAGAGCTGGGCACCCAGTCCAGGTTTCTAACCTGTGTAACAAGTCGCCAGTCATTTGAGCCATCACTGCTGTGTCCTGTGATCAGCATTACCAGAAGACTGGAGGGAAGATGCAGAGCGTGACCTCAAACCTACAAACTCTAGCATTGGGTGGCTGCCTCGGAACTCTATGCCGCTTGTTATCTTATGTACGTTCTGAGGCCATTATTGTTTTCATAGTTTACAGGAATTTTCCCATCCTGAAGCAAAATATGTTTTTGCTCTAATAAAGTTTAGGTTATAGAATGAAAGGTTTAATGACTCATTTTCAATTGTATAACTATTTATTTTAGACTATCAGCACTGTCTTTGGATATGAGAACTCTCACTATAATTCTGTGGCAGAAAGCTCAGGAAGTCAGGATTCTGACTTCTCCAAGCCCTTCAGCTGACAAAGTGCCCAGAGTTGTTATGTTTGGGTTCAAATGTAAAGAATTAACAGTTATTATTTTATGTGTTAGATTAGTGCACTGTAGTATAGTGTATTGCTGTTACTTTTACATGTACTCTTAGGAAGCTGTTATATTGTCCTTTGTCCATTGTATTTACTGGGTAGGCAGAATCTGGAATATTTTAAGAATTAGTGTTAGATAACATCCTGGGAAAGAAAATACATGGTTTTATGTTACTAACAACCGAACTCAAAAAAGACTTCTTAAAATAGACTTTTTTTTTCTCTTTCTGGAGGTCAGGCATCTGCTCTGTTCGGCTGTCCATTCCTAATGCATTGTGTTAGGCCTGCTGCTGTGTGTGTGTGTGTGTGTGTGTGTGTGTGTGTGTGTGTGTGTGAGAGAACGAGAGGCCTGTCACCTGTGGATTCCAGTTCTTAAAACCTTTAGCAGAGCCTTTGCTCTAGTTCCTCAATTATGCATCATTCTGCAGTTGAATTTGAAATGTTAAATGTATAATAATAAAATATCTTTTTTTAAAATATCTTTCAGAATCATGGTGTCATGGAAAGGGATATACTTCATACTCACTCTATTTTGGGGAAGCTTTTTTGGAAGCATTTTCATGCTGGGTCCCTTTTTACCTTTGATGTTTGTAAACCCGTCTTGGTATCGCTGGATCAACAACCGCCTCGTGGCAACTTGGCTCACGTTACCTGTGGTAAGTTACACTTTAGAGAAGGGGACAGTCAGCCTGTGCCCAAAGGTCTCCTACCCCATCCTGCTGATTTTATTTTGTTAGTGTCAGATTTGAGTGTGGAAGAACAGAAACATTCTTGTTATTTAAGAGAAACACTAGACTTTAAAGGGAGAAATTTAAAAACTAGGGACTTTGGAAATTAAAAAAAGATTGTGACTTGAAGTAAAGGCTCACTTAGGATCATATTCAAGTTTAAAAGTTTCTCCTATGTGCTTCAAGAATTTTGTGTTTCACCTTCCATCACTGTGAGGAAATTTTACATCATTAATGTTATTTTGAAATTCTTTCCCTTTTCTTTTTAAGATTTCTGCATTTGAAAGAGTTACCAGAGAGAGAGGAAGAAACACACATGCATACACTCTCTCAGAGAATGAGAGAATCTTTCTGCTGGTTAACTCCCCACCTGGCTTAGGAGCTTCATCTTTGTCTCCCAGTCAATGGCCAGGACCCATGTATGGGCCATCTTCTGCTGGTTTTCCTAGTTGTGTTAAATGGGGGCTGGATCTGAAGCGGAGCTTCTGAGACAAAAGGTCACACCTGTATGAGATACTGGAGGCTCAGGCAGTGGCCCAACCAACTGATATAAGACTGGCTCCTGCTTTCCTTTCCTCTGCTTTCATCTCTCTCTCTCTCTCTGCCTTCCTTCCTTCCTTCCTTTCTTAAACAGAACAATGACAAAAACAATTTAATTGTAAGCTTTTGAAATGTGTGATATGATGTTATTGATTCAATTCTTCCCAGTATTAAAAATATTTATAAGTGGGGCCCATTGCGGTGGCCTAGTGGCTAAAGTCCTTGCCTTGAATGTGCCAGGATCCTATATGGGTGTCTGTTCTAATCCTGGCAGCTCCACTTCCCATCCAGCTTCCTGCTTGTGGCCTGGGAAAGCAGTTGAGGGCAACCCAAAGTCTTAGAACTTGCATCTGTATTGGAGACCTGGAGGAAGTTCCTGGCTCCTGGTCTGATTTTGCAATAAAAATAAATAAATCTTTAAGAAAAGTTATAATTGATTTCCTATCTGTTAGACTAGGTTGACAATATCTGTAAGGTCTGACTTAAGGCCTGTTCACTAGAATGTTGTTATCATTAAGGCCATGCACGTTGAGTGCATGCCGCTCTGACCCAGGGCTGGTGACTTCTTAGGGGGCTGTAGTCCTCTCTCCAGAAGCCAAGAGCTTCCTCTGTGTCTCCCACAGGGATGCAGGGCCCGAGCTCTTTAGTTGTCCTCCACTGCTTTCCCTGGGACATTGGCAGGGTGCTGGATCAGAAGTGAGAAGCTGGGACTCGGACCAGCATCCACATTACAGACAGACTCAACTGCTACACAACAGCACATGTCTCAGGGTTACGTTTTTATCCAGTCTGACAATTTGATTGATTATGCTAATACTTTTCTGTAATTATTTTATTATTTCTATGTGTGCTTTCTGTTTTTTATCTTTCTGCTTCTCTTATTTTGTGTTTATTGATGGCTTTTAGTAATTTTTGGGACTAGTTAGCTGTATTATGTATATGTTTGTGCATACATACATATATGATATAATTTATATTCACGTAATGGATCCTTGCAGAATCATAGCCCATTTATAGTTAATACTTACCTCATCCTTCGTGCAGTTTTCATTTGCTTACATAACAAATTAATGTAGTAATAATACTTTTTTTGCCTTAGTTTTTTTAAGAAGTGAAGGCAAAATATATTCTCTTATACATATGTTTATCTACCTATTTTTCCATTTCTGGTGCTCTTCCTATACAGTGGAGTTTTTATTTCCCTTCAGCTTGTAGAACTTCCTTTAGTTTTTCTTGGTGTAGAATCTCTTGTAGATGAATCCTGTTGTTATTAATTGAAATTCTATTTTACCTTTACTTACATTGCTTCCCTTTATATAACATGTAATTTTTTTCTCCAGCTGCTTTTATGATTTCCCTATAACTATTCTTTTCAGCACTATAATTTCTGATAAGCCTACAGATAATTTAAAATTTATTTTCTTTGTTTAATGGGATTCTTAACTCTGAAGTTTGGGTGATTTGTGGTTTCTAAATTGGGAAATTTGGTGCCATTATTTCTTCATTTTGATACCAGTTTTCCCTTAATTATTTTTCTCGCCTTTTTGTAACTGCTTTACTGCTTTTACATATTTTACATATATTTTTACTCATGTCACAAAGTTTGTGTTCCTTTGTTTTTTTTATATTGGATGATTTTTTCTTTTACCTATTCTGGAGTCCAGTGACACTTTATTCTGTCATCTAAATAATTTTGTTGACCCATTGAATATTTAAAATAATGTACTTTTATGATGTGGAATTTGTGTTGTGTTCTTTGTTGGGTCCATCACTTTTTGAAGATCACTCATCTGTTTATTCACATGCAGTATTTTCCTTTGAATCAGTAGTTAAGTCTATGTTACCTTTTACGGTGATTTTTTTTTTCTTAACAGCAAGATTTTCCCTAACTTTTGTGGATTATTTAAAGTACTCAGCAGGATTCCTGGACATCCAGTGTTGTTAAGTGTCTACCATGTGGCAAACATTTTGCTCAGGTGAAATGCGAGTGGGACAGGGAGCGTCTGTGTGAACACAGTAGTCCTCCACCTAAAATGCTTTCCCTGATTACAAACTTGCAAGACTTCGTTAATTTCGTTTCTGGCTTTCACTTGATGGAAAAACTTGTTTTATTAGAGAACAAAAGTTGAATTGCAGACTGTGTAACTTTTAGAACTTTTTTTAAAACTTTTTTTTTTTTAACTTTGTAGAGTTAGTTTAAAATGCGCTTTAAGGATATGAAGTCCAGGGTTTTGCAGCCCTCAAACATAATGTAAAATAATATAATATACTCATTTTATAGCTTTACTATTTTTGTGTTCTTTCTTGCAAGATATTGCTCCATGTGATATTTGTATTGGGTAAAAGAGGTATAATACTCATTTCACATAAGATTCTCTGATGATTAATCTTATCTGACACTTTTTAAAATGATTTATTTGTTTTTATTAGAAAGTCAGATATACAGAGAGGAGGAAAGAGATCTTCCATCCGCTGATTCACTCCCCATGCGGTCTCAACAGCCGAGTTGAGCACATCAGAAGCCAGGATCATCATCTGTGTCTCCATGTGGGTGGGTCGCAAGGCTTTGGGTCATCCTGTGCTGCTTTCCCAGGCCACAAGTAGGGAGCTGGAAGAAAGTGGAGCCGCTAGAACATGAATCAGTGATCATATGGGCTCTCGATGCATGTAGGCAGACGATTAGCCAATTAAACAATCATGCCAGGCCCAGAAAGAAACTTCTAAAAAGTCATTTATGTACTGTCTCTGTTCAGTGACCCCAATTACTAAAAAGTCGAAGGCATTTTGTATTGGAAACATTTAGCTCTTTTCATGTCATTTATGTAACATGGCTTTTGTTTCGTTATCTGCAAAAATACGGAGATTAGTGTTAAGGATCTCAGAGTCATTCAGATTCACTGTATCTAATTTTAAAGCAAACGTTTAGAGATGGGTTTTTTCTTTTGCTAACAATCGTATGTTGTACCACACTTGATTTCTGAATGTCATCGATTTTCTACAATGTATGATCTTTCCCTTTCAAATCATGTCTCATTTCCCTTAAAAGTCACAGCTTGGCTGAACCTTTTGCCAAAGTCATGAGTTTTAAGAAGCTTCTTGCAATTAGCACATTTTAGTAGAAATCATTACAATTGTAATGTATTATGGAGTTTAGTCAATCTGATTTAGTTGAAGAATGAGTGCTTATTTTATAGATGTTAGACCCAAGAATTTGGTTTCGCTGTTGTGCTTGTAATTTTGTAGTGGTTTGAATTTGAGTACGGTACTTAACTTCTCTAAGCTTCTGATGTTTCATCTCTATGAAAAGGAGTAAAATGCTACATACATATCTCAGTGAATTATTGTGATGACTAAATGAGATCCTGAATACATAGCTTTTTCAACAAAATGCTTAGCATTTGGGAGTACACAGTGAATATTTGCAGTATTAGTTTTAAGAGATAGGTTTAACCCACTGTTTTGAAAATTATTCAGAATTTAGAGACTTGAATAAGGTAGGACTGTGTTCACTCCTGGGTCCAGATTGACAAGGTAGTTCTGCAGTCTGAGGCTGTGCAGACTTAGATCTTTTCTATCCACTGGCTCGCCCAGCCTGCCCTCAGCCTGGGTTATGTACTCTCCCATTTGGTCAGACTTAGGTCATGCCATATTGTGCTTCTGCAGGAAGTGGCGGGGAGGGGGAAAGAATCCAACAAGGTGCTTTCTCCTAGACCCTGCCTCCCATATCTAGTCCATAGCAAGTTTTATGTATCATTTTGTGTATTTCATTTACAAGAGGAGATAAAAGCTGTAATAGAACCTGGGAAACAACTTTTTTCAAGCAGTCATGTAGATGATCCAAACATTTTTTACTGGACAAGTTATCAGAAAAATTCCACAATAATTGTCTGATCACCTCTGTTGATGTTATTACTACTAGTGTTAATATTGTAGCACAGTTACACCATACATCAGTTTACACAACTTCAGTTACATGCATGAAGATGGGTGAGGAAGGAGTTGACAGAGAAGCAAAGGAATTTTCCCTGTTTCATGTGAGATGAAATAAGAAATATGAATTGTGCTCTGGTGAGTGTCCTAAAGAGAGATCTCTGCTAGTGTTTAAAGAGAGATCTGCTTTTTAACAGCACACAAACTGCTTTTTAACAGCACACAAACTTTGTCTGATGATTGTTTGCAGAAATAGCATTCTGGGGGGGCCCAACACATAGCCTATTGGCTTACATCCTCACCAGGATCCTACATGGGCACCCGTCTGTATCCCTGCTGCTCCATTTCCTTCCAGCTTTCTATTTGTGGCCTGGGGAAGCATTAGAGGATAGCCCAAGGCCTTGGGACCCTGCACCTGCATGGGAGATCTGGAAGAAACTCCTGGCTTCTGGCTTTGGATTGGCTCCGCTACAACCATTGCTGCCACTTGAGGAGTAAATCAGCAGAGAGAAGGTCTTTCCATCTCTCTTTCTCTCTGTAAATCTGCCTTTCCAATTAAAAAATATCTTAAAAGAAAGGAAGAAAAAAAAGAATATTTGACAGATTAGCTAAAAGTCATGAGAACTGTTATTCTTCAGTTTAAGAAGTAAATCATTATAAAATGTTACATGGTTTACTAGTTTCTTACTGAAACTATTTTCTGTGCTAGAGGTAGAGAATAGTGTCTGTAGTTTTTTCATCTGGAGTTCTTTATTTTTGTTACAACTTCCTTTCTGTGTGGTGTATTTGTTATTCTACCTTTGCAGGAGCTGTAAACAATGTTGACTTGATATGTCTTGTGTGGTGTTTAAGATTATTGTGAGCTAGCGGTCTGGGCTGCCCAAGAAGTTCTGTGTGACTTTCAGACATACTCTGGTGGAGTACTGTATGTCGAGGAAGAGGATACTGCCGAACCAACAGTCTTGGAGTTTTTATTTTGACATTTTCCATAATAAAAAGCAAAAGGTTGTGATTAAAAACAGGACACTAGAAAAAGTACTTCATAAAGGGTTAGAATTAATGATTAGAGTTTTTACTATCTTTAGCTCTTCTCTACTTGTAGTAAAACACAGTTAATAAGGAATCAATTTTCCCCACCAATATGTGAGAGGAATTCTTTATTTCATTTCTTAGAAAAAACTGAAAACACTGTATCATAATAGGAAAGTAGAATAGAGGAAATCCAAATTAGCAATGTGAAGTGATTTCACATGGATCTTTAGGGCCAAGGCTTAGAATATATTTTAGTACTTTGTGGCTTTTTATATTTATAAGTAGAAAAGGGATATTTTTGTTCTAAGCCTGAAACTGGAACACTGTGCAATGTTAATCTCTACTATAAAGTCTTCCATATAGATTCTTGACTTCCCAGCCTTTTGGAGTTGGGATTATAATTATTTGAGCAGTTAAAAGACTGGAAAAATTTGATGAAAAGTACAGGTGTCTGTCTCTTTCAAGGTACCTGTTTCTTTGTACAGTTTCAAGAGGGGGACACACATTGATGTCTTGGAAATTATTTGTTGTGGAAGTGCTGAGTGCACATGCCAGGCTTAGTTAACATCTAGGAAATAACTTACTGGGAACCTGTGGGGTCTTTATTGATACTTTTGCCCAAATGGACTTGTTTTCTTCTGCTAGAATGTTAATACTGTAACTCTGTAACAATTTGAGCATATAATATTTCTAACTTCTGACTTTTCTAATGCTTTAAAAATTGAGATTTAACCTGTCTTGATCTTATTTATTATGTTTCTGAAAACTTATTCTGCATATTGATTTTGTTCCTGACCTACTTATTGTGAAATGTAACAGAGAATGAAAAGTTAATAAAATGCAAATGAGTATTTTAATGAGTAATTTTTGAGTATAGCTATCACACAGGTCAAGAGGAGACAACGTTCCCTGTGCTCAAAGCCAGCTACCATCTTCCTAATCAAAATGTTTTCCTTTTGGTAGAAGTAGCCAATAATCTTTTTTTAAAGATGGTTATGTCTTTGTTTCTCTTTGTAATTTTATTGCTCTTATATTTGCTACATTTTGATCAAGTTTAGTATGATATTTGCCTGAGAAAACTTCAGATTTTCTTACCTTAATAATATATGTTGACGATCTCAAGGACAGCTGATATTTAAAAACAGAAGAATCCAGAAACGTTCAAAAACTTCATTGAATAGGAATGCTGAAATTAAAAATATTGCTTAATAGTCTCATTGTTACAGATTTTCCCCCCTCTTACATATTATGGAAGCAAGAATCAAAAGATACACTATAATTTCATGTGTTGAAAGTCACAGAAATTATTTACAGGCCATGATAAATTTTATCTGGGGAAATCTGAACTTCAAGTTGCTGTATTTCCATATCTCTTTTTTTAGGCATTATTGGAGACCATGTTTGGTGTAAGAGTGATTATAACAGGTGATGCATTTGTTCCTGGGGAAAGAAGTGTTATCATCATGAACCATCGTACAAGAATGGACTGGATGTTCCTGTGGAATTGTCTGATGAGATACAGCTATCTCCGACTGGAGAAAATTTGCCTCAAAGCCAGCCTCAAAAGTGTTCCTGGATTTGGTAGGTTATTATGCATTATTTCAAATGTAGTTCAATCACCTAAAAGTATATGGTAAATATATAAAAGCGCATAAGAACTGCAACGCTCCTTAAATAGTAAGAACAGTTCCCATGTTTTCCTTAGTCTCAGTTTCTGTTTTCCCATAGAGAATCTGCCATAACATGTGACTTTGTTGTAATTTCTTTTTGAAATATATCAACAATGAAAGAGAAAATCTTTTTTTAAAGGAACTAGGTATGATTTCTGATAACCATCACTTTGAAGGATATGAACTAAATAGTTCTCTAAATGTACTGTATGTAGTACTTGTGATTTAGATCAGAAACTAGTCTGCTGGTTGCTTGGGCTTCAAGTTGCTTGAAATTGATTCTTCACATTCATTTAATAAATATTAAATAAGCACTTCTGATTCTAAGCTTTATACTTGATGCTATTATTTTTTGCATTTCTCTAATCCATTTCTTTTTTCTATTTTTTAAACTTTAAAATTATTTATTTATTTTGAAAATCAGAATTAAAAAGAGAGAGAGGTGGAGGGAGGCAAGGAAGGAGGGAGAAAGAGAAAGGTCTTCCATGTGCTGGTCACCCCCCAGATGGTCACAAAGGCCACTGCTGGGCAAAGCCAGGAACTAGGAACTTCATCTGAGTGTTCCATGTGAGCGACAGGAGCCCACACACTTAGGCCTTCTGCTTTTCCCAAGGTATTAGCAGGGAGCTGGATTGGAAGTGGAACAGCTAGGATATGACCAGGCACCTATGTTGAATGCTGGCATCACAGGAAATGGTTTTACTGGCTGTGCCACAGTGCTGCTCATATTCTTAGTCTTTCTGTTGTGCTTGTCTAGTATTTTAAAGTTCCTTAAAATGCTTGGTTTAAATGATTAAGCATACAGTATTGGTTTCATTAGTGTGTTTTGAGAAGTAGGGATGCTTGAACATTGTATGTTAAAAATAATTACCCCCATTGATGTGAAGGTAGTGGTGAGGAATACCCTGTAATTACATTGAGACCAGTTATTCACATAAGGGTGTGTACTCCCTGGTGGACTTACCTATGATATCTGCTTCTGTGGTTGGCCTTTGAATTCTGCCTGTCTCAGCGGACTAAGGTGATTTATGATTTGTGAGGGCAAAGGGCTTGCTTTATTCTCAAAACTGACCAGTAAAGGGATGGTGGTTGACTTATCAAGTGTATTTAAGTTTTATTGCCTTCATGCTCATAGATCTGTTTTTCTTTGCACTGTTTCAATATACTTGTCTTAATGACAACTGGCTTCCCCCAGAGCAAACACCCCAGAGAACCAGTAAGCAACTGCAAGGCATTTTCTGACTGAGCCTTCAAATTCATATGTCATAGCATCATATCTGCCATGTGTTATTGGGGGAAGTCATCAATACCCTCAAAGATTCTAGGGGAAGGAGCTTTTTGAAATACTGAGATCTCTAACACCTCACCTTGAGAAATCTCAGTATTTAAAAAAAACTCTGTAAAAAATGGCTAGGAAGGCAAAAAATTATTTTATTGTTACTGATTTTATGTGAAGTATGGCAGCAGAATGTTAGCAATACTGTTATGCCATGAGTTTGAAAGTATATATGAAACTTTAAAAAATCATGTAGAAAAATGTAACTGTCAAATCTTGACAGCACTGGAGCCTGTGCTTTTGTGCGGTGGTTGAGCCACTGTGATCCAGACATTCAGACTGCTGCCTGGAGGCTCTGTTGTTCGACTTTTGATCCGTCTTCCTGATAGTGTACCTGGGCAAACAGCATATGATGCTCCGGGGTGCTTGTGAGACCCTGTTGGAGTTCCAGGCTCCTGTTTTCAGCTTGCCCAGTCCCCATCATTGTGACCTTCTTAGTAGTGAAGCAGCAGATAGAGGGTGTCTGTCTCTCACTCTTCCTTCTCTTTGTCCCATCTGTCACTCTGCCTTTCATACAAATCTTTAAAAAAGTCTGACATTGACAAATGATGAAAACCTAAATGAAAAAGTCAAAGTTGTGTGTTTGATAAAGAGGTCAAACCCACATTTAAAAGCCCTTTCACTCAGGTTTTTGGAAGACAGTAATACAACATGATTTTCTTCAGCCTTCCAAAAAAAGTTGTCCAATCAACAGAGATAGTTAAGCCATGTGTTATTTATTTCCTCATCAGAAGGCATAGAGTATCATGGAGGCTCATTAGAATGGCGTTTCTGCTGCTCTTTCATCTTTGATACCTATGGGAGAAGGCTTCGAGTAGAAGAGCACACCCCAGATCATCCCCAGAAAGACAAAGACTACCACCAGATGTAAAAAGTCCAGAAATGGTAGTCAGTAGCACAACGTATAGGAAGGTGGTTTGAACGGCAGCATGACCAATCGTGATGGCCTCAGTAAGGCAGTCCTTCTTGGAGAACATCCTGTCTATTACAAGAGAGGCAGCTTCTCTTACCTGTGTGGCAGGGATGGAAATTAAGGACCTGCAGGAAAAAAAGGAGAACCAAGAAACTATAATTTCCCTTCAACATCCCTGCCCCCAAAATCAGTAATCATAAAAGAACTGGATTGTGTATATCCAAAAAAAGAATTCTCTAAGAGAAAAGTAAATGATTGTACAATGCCCCATGCTGAACTAATTATCGTTAAGCAATTAAACAGCTAACACCTAAAATGTAAGTCAGAAAAGATTTTCACACATAGAACAAGAGCACTGAGAAATTTATCTTGGCTAACTCCATTGTCTTGTTCCTCAGTGTGCAAATGGTGAAATTCATAAAATATAAAACACTTAAAACCTCTGGAGGGGCCAGTGTGGTGGCTAGCACGTAAAAGCTGATGCCTGCAATACAGGTAACTCATGGGCACTTGTTCGAGTCCTGGCTGCTCTGCTTTCACTCCAGCTCCCTGCTAATGATCTGATTAAAACAATGGAAAATGACCAAAGTGTTTTGGGCCTCTACATCCATGTGGGAAAAACATTGAATCTTAATGTTACATCTATGATTATATTTCATTTAATTTTCACTGTGAGCCAAGGGTTGAGGTTTACTTTTGCTTGAACAGATACCCAGTTTTTGAGCAGCATTTATTCAAAGGTCTTTCTGTCACCCAATGAGCTACCCAGCTGTCAGTAGCCCATGAGTGTTGCTTCATTGTTGTGTGTTTGTCCTCATACCAAGCAGCTTCATATTCTTATGATACTGTAACTTGCATTGTTAGTTCATCGTTAGTTCTAAATTGTTCTTATTAAATCCTTTTCTTGCCCGTTAAATTTGAAGGTAAACTTGTTAACCTCTTCACTAAAGCCCATAAGTTTGTAAGAAATTATATTGTAATAAATATATAAGTCAGGTTGCCGTCATAACACTGAATCTTCAGATTCATGAACATGGATCTTTCTCTGTCCATATTTTTTTTTTTAATGTCCGTTTGCAGTAATTTTAGCTTTCTACAAAAGGATCATTCATGCATTAGGACAAGCTTAAATAGTTTTGGGATACAGTTTTGGAGGTGTGTGAAAAATTTGTTCTTAATGCATTTCTAGTGTATAGATATGCAGTTGCTTTCTTAGATCTTGCGACCCTATTAAAATTAATGTGTTGGGGTTTCCTTACCCTTTTCCACATATATACTCACATTGCATTTTTTTTTAAGATTTATTTTTATTTATTTTTTTTATTGGAAAGGCGGATATACAGAGAGGAGAGACAGAGAGGAAGATCTTCCGTCCGATGATCCACTCCCCAAGTGAGCACAACGGCCAATGCTATGCCGATCCAAAGCCAGGAGCCTCTTCCGGGTCTCCCACGCGGGTGCAGGGTCCCAAAGCTTTGGGCTGTCCTCGACTGCTTTCCCGGGCCACAGGCAGGGAGCTGGAAGGGAAGCAGGGCTTGCCGGGATAGAACCGGCGCCCATATGGGATCCCAGGCGTGCAAGGCGAGGACCTTAACCACTTGTGCCACCGTGCCGGGCCCATCACGTTGCATTTTATAGCTTTACTTTTAATTTCCCCATGTGTGTTTTCTTTTATGCCCATTACACTGACTGTCCTTCAGTATGGTGCTAACTCCAAGTGTTGAGCAGGTGGCTTTGCCTTGCTTGTTCTTTCATTTAGTTGGAAAGATTGAAACCTTCCACTGCAGAGAATGATGTGAGCTGTCATTTTGTCGTAGAGATCCTGCATTAGGTTGAGGAATTTCCTTTCAGTTTCTATTTTGCTGAGTTTTTATCATGACATGATATTGAATTTTGTCAAGTGTTTTTTTCTATATTTGTGAAATTGACATGGTTTTTGTCATTAACATTAAGATGCATTGATTGGTTTGATGTTAATTAGCTTTTTAATGTAAATTATTGGATGCAATTGCCAGTTGTTTTAAAGGATTTTTGTATCCAAGAAGGATTTTATTCTTTAGTTTCTCTTTTTGACATTCTTGGCTTTTGCTGTGTAAATGAGACCGTCTTTGTCCCCTCTTTGTGTGTTTTCCATAGGAGTTTGTGTAGGATTGGTGTTAGTTTTTTGCTAAATGAAGGAATTCATCAGTGGAGTCATCTGAGCCTAGAGAATATTTGATGGGTGTATTAATTTTGAACTCCATTCTTTTTGTTGATACAGAGCTTTTAAATTTTGTTTCTTGTTTGTAATTTGTCTTACAAGAAATTGCGCAATCCAAGTTGTCAAACTGAAATGTCAAAATTAACCTATAAGTCATTCATCATATTCTTTTTTCATTCTCTTCACTTCCTGCTCTTTGTTGATTGATCTGGCTGGAGTTTTATCAGTTGTATTGATTTCCCCCTCTCCTGAAAGAAACAGCTTTTAGTTTTATTGATTCCACAGCCTTTTCCCAACCCCACTGCTGTCATGGTTTTGTTTTGTTTCCTGTTTCACTGATTTTTGTTCTTATATCCTTCTGTTTCCTTTGGGTTTCAGTTGCCTTTTGTTCTTATTTTTGTTTCTTAAGGTAGAAGCATGTGTCTTTGCTCTGTTAGTTTTTTCTGACACATCAAGGGCTGC